TGTTTAGCAATATCTAATTTTGTCTTTTCCTACTACTCACTTATTGCTTGTCCTGTTTCCACTCTTTTTATGTTTACTACCCAGTCCAGGGATTGAACTCACAATTGCTGTGTCACCAAATACATGAACCAATGTTTTAATCACCTCGGCTATTGTCCTATACAATAACAACAAAGATGGGGAGATTAATTTTAATATAAATATATATGTAACTTCTGATCTGAGAAATTCAAACAGAAATTATCAGCCAATATTTGGTATTTGGTGCCATCAAGTATGAAACTGTCAGGACAATGGTATTATTTAATTTCCTTAAAATAGAAACTTAGTTGTGTCCCTGGCCATAAAAGATTTGTTGTAATTTCCAATGTATTCTAAAGGCATTTTGCAATTTTATTGTCTCCCCTTATAAAAGCAAGATGCCTCATATCACTTATTGTTTCTTTCCCTTTCCTCAATTTAATATTTTCCTCAATGTCTTTTTCATCTGATCTTGTTTCATTGATTTGAGAGAAGGCCCAAAGGGATAATACCAATCTACCATCTTATATTGAATTATTTTCGGAAATTTATTTTGAGAAAATGTATTGAATCTAGAGTCTTATCGGTAACAAATATCATGAAAGGAATTTGTTCCCTCAAAAGGAAAAATCTTAGTACTGACTATTTGGCTGATAAGAATTATTCTGGTAAGTATTTGGTCAATCTGTCATAAAACTTCTAGTGTAGAAATTTAACCAATCAGGATCAAGCTTCATAGCTTCAACATGAATCATTTGGATTAATTGAACTTCCTGTTATTTGATTTAGAATTACTCAACCAATGAGGGCAATAGATGACTTGCTCTGATTTAATATTAAGTCCCCAAATTAATTTGTTATTGATGATTCCCAAACCATATATAGTAGTAATTTTTTTCCACAAAGAAAAAGAAATCATTTTTGTTGCTGTTTGTCTATCAAAGAAGCCAATACAGATTTTGATATTTGTCTAGATAGAAAGCTTACTGTTTTCTCTTTATGGTATTAATGTGTATTTGAATTGACTCCAGACATCAACACTTGTTTTTAATTCAAGTTTTTCTTGTACATATTAACTTTGTAGTTGAAACTAAAGGTATTGTCATTGCAAGGTTTCTTGTTCCATATTATCAACTGGATATTTTTCTAGTTAACTAAACAATGAAGTGATGCAGAGTTGTGTGTATTGCTTTTGCCTCTTTCAAGGACATATTCTCTTCTCAAAGCATCAGCTGCTAAATTAAAAAGCATACTTTGACTTCCACCCCCTTTTTTCTTTTTTTTTCTCAACCATTTCAAGCAAAACACTAAAACCACTAAGAACAAAATTACAAAGACAGATGATGATGATGGACACTGCATTTAAATGTTTAAAGATCATTGTGCACAGAAAATCAAGAAGCTGGAAGAGAGTTCCACAGTTGAGAAGTGTAAGTGAAGAAACTATTAGAATAAAACTTATAAATACCTCTAGGAATTTCAACAGGGAAATTATGAGACCTAACGGACAATCTAGTTCTGCACTTAAATTTGGGAAGTTGAGATACCAAATAGGAAAGCTCACCAGAACAATTACAATGAAAATATTTCTAGAAAAGGCACCGGGAAGCTACATTATGATGGTAGGAAAGTGATTTAAGCCAAGATGCCAGGTCAGGACTGATAACATTGCAGATTCTGCTTTGCATATTGTCAGTAGTCTCTGGATATATAACAGGAGCACCAGACCAGATGTGGAAAAGTGAAAGAATATTAGACTTTTGTAAAGGTACCAGATAGATTTGTCAGAAATGAAAAATATTCATTTCCAAAGCCGGGGTTCAGTTCATAGTATAAATGCAGTATGAAATTGATTCATGACATTTTACAGAGTTATCTGGAGTCAGTTTTTTATTTAAATATGGGAAGTTTGAAACATTGCTTAGGGCATTGGTATTTATATATTTTTTTTATTAATTTATGTAAATTTTTGTTCTTTATGAATGTTTATATCCATTGGTTCCTTAATTGAAAAGAATATTTTGTAAAAAAAAAAACAAAAAAATGAAATTTTCTCCTGACAAAAAATATTGCTTGTTTAAAATATCTACATATATATCTTTTAATTTAATATATATATATATATATATATATATATATATATATATATATATATAGACAAAATGAAAACTTATCTGATATGTTTCATCCTCTGAGGGGATGTTATGAAGGAAAATGATTTGCCTTCATAAAGTCATTCAGAGGACAAAACGCGCTGACTAAGATAACTTTTCCTTTTGTTTTTATTTATATTGCCCTTTTACATATATATTCTATCTGAAATTTATACACACACACATATATACATGATTATATATATATATATATATATATATATATATATATAATGTTGTTTAATGCTAAAATCTTTCTGTTAAAAAAAATGTCTCTTTTTATCAATGACATATGCAGAGTTTCAAACTTGTCATTTGTAAATTAAAAAAAGCAGAAATAATTCTTTAAAAAGTCTAGGATCAATTTTAAACTATATCAATATTATGAACAGGACCCCCTCCTCCTAAATCAATAAAATATCAGTATTTTTTTTTTATTCTGATGTTGTGCCTTGAGGAAGGTCTGATAAATGTGAATTTACAAGAATTATTTCCAAAATAATTCTTCCCTAATTTTTACGAATGAACAATGCTACATTAGTACAGCCAAATTATGAGAAAAAACAACAAGGATAAGGATACTCACCCAAATAATTCACAATATTCTCTCATAGAATAAACTCATTTTAGAATTTCAGATAACTTGCTTAATAGGAACAATTGAAGTGAATTTTCTTGAGTTATTAAAACAGCTAGTGAGATAAGCAAATTACATAGGGTTGAAAGAAAAATATTATTTGAGTTTAAAAAGATAGATTTTTTTTTATTGGAAATAAAAAAAATGAAAATAAAATTACACATATGCATGTTAATCATAATTTGTTTTGAAAAATGCTGAGATTTCTAACTCTAGAATAACCAACAAGATCTTTAGTCCACAACAACTGAGCTTAAAAATAGTCACATTTCTTACTGATGAAGACATTATTAAATTCCAATGTTGACATTTGTTTTAAAAAATTCTTGTTTTAACTTTTTATATTTCTCTTACAATTGTTACATTTATAAAAAAAAAAAAAAAAAAAGATATTTTCTAATTCAATTTTTCTGTATATTATTTCATATTTTTTTCTAAAAAATAACTTATACTGAAATTTTTTACTTGATTTAAATTCTTTTTCCAAAAAAAATGAGATTAAAAAACTTTCATTTGAGTTTTTTCAGAATTTTTACTTCCAGTTCAGCTTTTATCATTCAGTGAATTTCTTTTTCTAATTTTGTTCAATTAAAAATTTAATTATCAACAAGGACTAACTCCATGAAAAAATGTTAAGAAACTTTTGCACATTTCAAAGATCATCCAATAAGAATTGAATCAACCACAAAATCTTTTCCCATTTTGATCTCAAATTTTTTTCATTCTTCAATCATTTTTTTTTCGGGATTTCTACAAGTACAGAAATAAAATAGGTTATTTCTGCAAGTCTTCCAGATCCTTCTTGAAAACTAATTGGTTTGTGATCATTATGAGCAAAAATGTCCAGCAAATGATGATGACCCTATAGGAAAATAGTGTGTTTTTTTTGGAACTGAAAACTTGGCCTGTCCAACCATGTTTTTGTGTTGTCTGTATCGGTTGTAGTTTATATCAAAATAAATACGAGGAATATACTTTCAATGGGAATTGATGAGAGCCTCATCAAGCTAGGGAAATATTTATTCAAAAGACATAAACTCATATTTGTCATTTGTCAGTATTTGGGACTTCTGTGACTATTCTGATGACTGATTCTGGTATAATATATTTGGTGGTAACTGTGTGTGGGCGGGGAGGGGAACAGTGTTTTGTAGCTGAAAACTTTCTTTACCCAATAAATCTGTTGCAATGTTCTCAGAAGTAAATAGAAACATTACTTTTAAAGTATCACTAATATACATATATATTAAGTGTTGATCAGTGACAATCCCTGATTTTCAATGCATCACCTAGAAAGATGTGGATGAATAATTGTCAATAAATGGGTCTTCATTGAATTTTCTGATGACAGATTCAGGTAGAATGTAGAATTATGGATGATGGTAACTGTGCAGAAAAATGGTATTTTCTAGCTGCAAACTTGCACTTTCCACAGTGATCTTGTGCTCTTTGCATCTGTTGATTCCCTGAAGATAAATATAATTACTTTCATTCAAAATGATCATATTTTATTGTATTGTGGCAGTTATATCAACATGTATTTAAAAAAAAAAAAAGGATTCGTTAATATCACTCTCAAAATCTAGGTATTCCTCTTAGCCAAAAAAAAAAAAAAAAAATAATGAATAGCCCTCACACTCACACATATACCTCCTGACCTCTTTTTCATTTGCTTTTCTTTCTTTTTTTTTTTCCGTGATATAATAATTTTGGAATATTCTGGCTGAATTCCATAAGGAAACTCTACTCCGATGTTATGGACTGTAGCCAGAGACTCTTACTACACCAGTTGCCAACTCGACATGTTCTTAAGTTTCTCTTGCCTTGTATTCATGGCTTCACCTACTATTTGAACCCTTGCCTGCTTTGATTTGCTGATAATCCCAAATACTCTTCTAACAGGGGTCATGGGGTTGAACAGCGAGTGGAAGTTCATTAATGGTCCCTACCTATGGTTTTCATTCTATTTTTTGCCTCTTCCCCCATCAGGAAGCCATTATTTCTTTTAGCGTTTGATTTTGATCTGCCATTTTGGTCTGGCAATCGGCCATTCTAGCTTTAGCCTGATTTCTTCATACCCATGATTCTACCTTTGCTCTTTGCTTATTTTTCTCTCCTTCCTGCTGAGAAAAAACTTTAAGATCAACAATCGACACTCGTTTACGTCTTTATTTCAAAGAAAATGAAGA